GATTGGAGAGGGCTCCCCTGAGGGCTCCCAGATTGGAGAGGGTGCAGGTCGTGCTGAGGGGCCCCCAAGTCCCCCCAGGGCATGAATGTCATGTACCGGGCCTCGAGTTTATTTCAGTAATGCCAGCAGTATGGGAGAGCAGCAGGTCATCCATGAAAATCTGCTCTGCACCTTCCCCTCATAAGCCAATTTATTTGGGGTAGGACAAAGATTACAAGGGGATGTAGGCAAAAGGACTAAGAATGGGTATAATGATTACAGGCAATGTGGGTGGGACTCCCTTATCTTTCCATGATAATGGCCTAAATTCCAAGGATGAGTCCGAGATCCCTGGGGTGCACAACTCCCAGCCAGGTTAGAATGTGCTGTCTTTCATCAGAACAAGAAAGCACAGTTAACAGAGCATGATTATTATTTCTTGTAACTATAACTAGTCCCCAATATTCTATTTCTGCCCCTAACTACATGACTGTGTTATGTTACATGGCAAAGTTGATGGAATGACACTCGCTTAGTTACATTAAGTTATGTAAGACTTGCTAGCCACTAGCTTTCATTCTCCTGTTGGCCTTAAAGAAGAAAGCTGCCATATTGTGAACTTCCTGTGAAGAGAGTCATGTGGTAGGGAACCACGGAAAGCTCCTGGGAGCTGAGACTAGCAACTTTCCTATGCAGGTATTGTGTGGATATAAGTTTTCAACTTATGTCGGTAAATACTTAGGAGCATGATTGCTAGATTGTATCATGACTATGTTTAGTTTTGTAAGAGAAACTGCCAACTGTTTTCCAAAGTGGCTGTGTCATTTTGCATTCCTACTAATAACAAGTGAGACTTCTTGTTTATCCAAGACCTTTTCAGCATTTGATATTGTAAATTTTTTTGGATTTTGGCCATTCTAATGGTTCAGTAGTAGTAACTTATTGTTTTAATAATGACATGTAATGTGGGACATCTTTTCATATGCTTACAGGGTGGGACAAAGGTAGGTTTATAATTATTCTTATGGAAAATAATGCAATAATTAATAAATAAAAATGCAAGAATGAACTGTGTTTTGCATACTCACAGCTGTATACTTTTGCCGCACCCTGTATTTGCCACCTGTACACCTTCTTTTTTTTAAATATTTTTATTGATTTTTTTATAGAGAGGAAGGGAGACAGAGAGTTAGAAACATCAATGAGAGAGAAACATCGATCAACTGCCTCCTGCACACCCCCTACTGGGGAAGTGCCCACAACCAAGGTACATGCCCTTGACCGGAATTGAACCTGGGACCCTTCAGTCCACAGGCCGGCGCTCTATCCACTGAGCCAAACCGGTTAGGGCTGTACACCTTCTTTGGTGTGGTGTTTCTTCAGCTCTTTTGCCCAGTTTTTTAAATGAGTATTTTTCTTTCCTTATTGTTGAGTTTTAATAGTTCGTTGTATATTTTGGATACAAATCCTTTATCAGATAGGTGTTTTGCAAGTATTTTCTCACAGTCTTTGGCTTGTCTTTTCATTTCTTAATGGAGTTTATTTTTAATAAATGTTCATTGAATGAACCAATTTCTTTAAATACGTAGAATATCAGCTATATTTTCTGATTATACTGTTACAGAAATTCTTCTGAGTGTTAATAGTTTTGCTTTTTACACTTAGCTCTCTAATCCTGATCCACGTACATGGAATTTTTTTGTGTACTAAGTGTGAGGTGTTGGTAGGTTTACATGAGGACATGTGCGTTTATGTGTGTAGTTTTCTGAATGGTTCCTGGCAAATAATACAAAACTGTATAAGTTTTAGCCACTACTGTTGTTACCCAACAAATACTGATTTTTTTCTCTGAGTCACTGTGCTGAGGATGGGAAGGAAGATCCTACACTCAATAATTCACAGTTTAGTGAAGCTCCGGACTCTACTTCGTCTTTTCTACTTTTATCTCAGTTCTTTTTTTGTTTTTCGGTATCTTAATTTTTCTTCAGTTTCATTGAGATGATTGATGTATAACATTGTGTTAAACTGTATAAAAATAATGATCTGATATATGTATATATTGTGAAATGATTACCAATAAGTTTAGTTAACTAAACTTGTAAGTTTTTCTTATGATGAGTGTTTTTAGGATCTATAAGATAAATAAATTGCAACATGGTAACTATAATAATACATACTGTATTATATATATGAAAGTTACTAAGAGTGGATCTATTTTTAATTTTTACCTGGTATTTAAAGTGATGGTCAGAAAACTGACCTGCTGCCTAAAATAAAATATTTTAAAGTCATTTAAAATTTTGTTTCATAGATGTTGGTTACTACTGATGGGTGTGAGTAAGTTAGATGTTCTATACCGGAGACTTCTCCTTACAAAACTTTTTATCAGAGGATGGGGAAGGCCAGAGGATCTTAAAAGGTAAAAATTTTTCTGAATGCTTGTTCTGACTTTGTTTTAGTAAACATTTAAAATTTTATTTCACTTTTAAAGTTCTTTGCTATAAATATAAAGTGATTGGAAAATTAAGTATTAAACAATATAAAAAATGAAATTATTTCCTTTTCTCTTTTCTCCCTTTAATTATTTCTCTTGTTTTAACCCACATAATCATAAATTGAATTAGTTTAAAAGTCATTCAGTTGTGAAAATAAAGAGCTCTCAGAAATACAAGTTAGATTATTAACTTTAATAATTTTTTAATTGATTTAACTTTCCAGAGACTGAGCATTCCTGGGTAAATTGAAATTGTAATGACTATGAAACTGGGATATACTGTAGCTCATGTGAATATATGTACATAAAATAAATTTTCAAGATTTGTGCTTTTAATTTTGAGTCTTATATATGTTAATTACTTTCTGAACAATGATATTTCTCACATTTTTTTGAGATAAAATGTCCAGCTTGCAAAAGACCAACAACCTACTCTTTTTCTTTGTTGACTAAAATTAAATTTTAGCATGTTTTATGACCTGGACTTAGTAATTTTTACTCACTATTCATCAGTCTCAACATATGGCTATACTAATTTTTTTTTCCTTTTGTTCCCCTTTACCATAACAGACTCTTTGAATTCAGAAAGATAATTGGAAATCGAGAAAGATGTCAGAATCTGGTTTCAAGTGATTATCCAGTATACATCGATAAGGTAGTAAAATGAAATAAATGTAATTATAGAAATTCTGTTTTAACATAAATATGTGACAAGAATAGGTGGAAGGGCAGGAGCTGGAAGAGATTCACCTAAGAGCTTATATGCATATATGCATAACCTGTGGCAAAGGAAGGCAGGGGCAGAATGGAGGAGGTCATTGGGGGGAAAAAAGAAGACATCTGTAATACTTTCAACACTAAAGATAAATTTTTTAAAAGAATAGGTTGAATGTTAAGAGTATAACAGTAAACACTAGAACATGAGTACACAGTATAGGTTTTTCATTTAATTTTTTTAATCTCCCACCCATCCCCGCCTCCTCTCTGAGATTCATACTTCTGTTCCATGTTTCCATGTCTCTGGATCTATCTTGTTCATCAATTTATTTTGTTTATTAAATTCACATATGAGTGAGATAATGTGATACTTATCTTTCTCTGACTGGTTTATTTTGCTTTACATAGTACTCTCTAGGTCCCTCCAGGCTGTCTCAAAGGGTAAGAGATCCTTCATTTTTATAGCTGCATAGTATTCCATGGTGTGAATGTACTACAGCTTTTTTACCCACTCTTCTACTGATAGGCACTTGGGCTGTTTCCAGATCTTAGCTATTGTAAATTGTGCTACTATGATAGGGGTGCATGTATTCTTTCTGATTGGTGTTTAGGATTTCTTAGGATAAATTCCCAGAAATGGGATCACTGGGTCAAATGGCAGTTCCATTTTTAATTTTTTGAGGAAACTCCATACTGTTTTCCATAGTGGCTGCACCAGTCTACATTCCCACCAGCAGTGTAGTAGGGTTCCCTTTTCTCTACAACCTAGCCAACACTTGTCCTTTGCTGATTTGTTGATGATTTTGATATGCCTTTCCCTAATGACTATGATGTTGAGCATTTGTATGTGCTTATTGGCCATTTGAGTGTCTTCTTTGGAGAAATATTTATGAAATACTTGCCTTTTTGTTTTGTTTTTTGCATGTCACTAGCCTGGTGACTGACTATTCCATAGTAGGGCCACAGTCAGTTTATAAGGTCAAGAGTTGCTCTTGGAGGACTCTAGCACAATAAGGCAATAGCTAATACCCAAGCATGACTCTAGAGCAGTGATGGCGAACCTATGACACGCGTGTCAGAGGTGACACACGAACTCATTTTTTTGGTTGATTTTTCTTTGTTAAATGGCATTTAAATATATAAAATAAATATCAAAAATATAAATCTTTGTTTTACTATGGTTGCAAATATCAAAAAATTTCTATATGTGACACGGCACCAGAGTTAAGTTAGGGTTTTTCAAAATGCTAACACGCTGAGCTCAAAAGGTTCGCCATCACTGCTCTAGAGACTGCCTGTTTTTAATTGGGCTATTCATCTTATTGTTGAGTTGTAGCTTGCTTAATTTTTAAACCAATATTATGTTTGGCTCTAAAATTGGTTTTTATCTTACCAAATTCCCAATTACCCTAACACTATTTATTGAATAATTATTTCCTTCACATTAGTTTGTACTATCTTCTTTATCAAATAGTTTGTTTTTCAAAAATACATGCGAAAAAAAACTTTAAAACTATATTTGCAGGCAAAAAGATGAATAAAATGTAAAGACTTCTTGATTTAAAAATTTCACATTATCCACGTTAGGTTTTCTTACCTTTTTTAAAAAAATGCAGTACAATCCTGATTAAAACATTCAATTTAGAACTTAGGTCCATAAAAGGCTCCTAAAATAATTTTTGGAAGAACCATGAGAGTACAATCAGATCAGGAATACCGGAACAGGAAGATTGATAAGTCTGTTTTAGTAATATATCAGTGGGTATTGTAAAGTTGCAGCATGATCAACCGAGCATGCTATTGGTTCAGAAATAAAAGATAGGCTAATAAGAACTAATGAAGGATTGAAAATAATATGCCATAATTTATGCAAATTTATTTCATAGTAAAGCAGCTTTTTTGTTGTTGTTAATCCTCACCCAAGGATATTTTTTCCATTGATTTTTTTAGAGAGAGTGGAAGGGAGGAGGGGAGAGAGACAGAAAGAAACATCAGTGTGAGAGATACACATTGATGGTTTGCCTCCAGCACGCAAGGCCAACCCAGGTACATGCTCTTGACTGGGAATCAAACCTGAGACCCTTCAGTCCCTTGGCTGATGCTCTTGCCACTGAGCAAAATCAGCGAGGTCTAGAATTTGTGTTTTTTGTTTTTTTTTAATATATTTTTTTATTGACTTCAGAGAGGAAGGGAATGGGAGAGAGAGATAGAAACATCAATGATGAGAGAGTATCTGAACGGCTGCCTCCTGCACGCTTCCCACTGGGGATCCAGCCTGCAACCCAGCATGTGCTCTTGACCGGAATCAAACCCAGGATCCTTCAGTGCGGAGGCTCTATCCACTGAGCCAAACCAGGTAGGGTGAATTTGTGTTTTAAATAAAGCTAGACGAGGTATGTTTTTTTGTTTGTTTGTTTCTGATTTTAATGGAAATACGTGGTGCTTTAATGCTAATTTAATTTTTACTACTGGCTTGATAAAAAAAAGAAAAATTCATTTAAAAAAACACAACTATTTGCCCTAGTCAGTTTGGCTCAGTGGATAGAGCATCGGCCTGTGGCCTGAAGGGTCTCAGATTCAATTCCGGTCAAGGCCACATACCTCAGTTGCAGGTTCCTCACCGACCAGGGCCCTGGTCAGGGCACGTGAAGGAGGCAACCAATCGATGTCTTTCTCTCACATCTACATTTCTTTCTTTCCCTCTCTCTTTCACTTTCTCTAAAAATCAATGGAAAAATACCCTTGGGTGAGGATTAACAAAAAACAAAAAAAACAACTATTTGAGGGAGGAAAAGTTTAGATATTATATATTAGCAAATTCCTTTGACATATATGTAAATGCCATATTTCTCCTTATGTGATATGTTGACGTGACTTATTACATCAGTAGATTGCCTAAAAATTAGCCATTCTAACATATTTAATATCAGCCCTTATTTGATTGTAGTAAATTATTGTTGCAATTTGTAAATTGTTCATATGTTTACTTTTATATTGTCAAATTATTCTAACTGGTATTTTATTTGGCGTTATTGTATATGATTGTGTAAATGAAGTTTATTTATAGTTTACTTTTCCAACTAGACTGTAGTAAAAGATATTGAAAGAAAAGGAATGTGTGTGAATCAGAGCCAGGTCCTTAGAAAGCAGTATGTGGCAAAAACGATACATAGTAGGCACTGGAGAAAAGGGTTTTACTGAATGGAAATTTTTTATAAAAAGCACCAATATGCCCTACCTGGTTTGGCCCAATGGATAGAGCGTCAGCCTGCGGACTGAAGGGTCCCAGGTTCTATTCTGGCCAAGGGCACATGCCTGAGTTGCAGATTCAACCCCCAGTAGGGGGCATGCAGGAAGCAGCCAATCAGTGATTCTCTCTCATCACTGATGTTACTTTTTTTTTTATTATTGATTTTTTTATAGAGAGGAAGGGAGAGGGATAGAGAGTTAGAAACATCGATGAGAGAGAAACATCGATCAGCTGCCTCCTGCACACTCCCTACTGGGGATGTGCCCACAACCAAGATACATGCCCTTGACCGGAATCGAACCTGGGACCCTTGAATACGCAGACCGACGCTCTATCCACTGAGCCAAACCGGTTAGGGCATCATTGATGTTTCTGTCTTTCTCTCCCTCTCCCTTCCTCTCTAAAATCAATAAAGTATATATATTTTTAAAAGGCATCTATACTAATAAAAGGGTATATGCTAATTAGACCGGATGTCCTTCTGGACAAAGCCACAGTGGCTGCGAGGGCCGGAGAGGGCTAGCAGCCGTGGCACGCCAGAAGTTCCGCCTCTGTGCATGAGCTGCACAGGAAACACCTTTTCTGACCACTCAGCCAAACGGGTTAGGGCATCATTGATGTTTCTATCTTTCTCTCCCTCTCCCTTCCTCTCTAAAATCAATAAAATATATATATTTTTAAAAGGCATCTATACTAATAAAAGGGTATATGCTAATTAGACCGGACGTCCTTCTGGACAAAGCCACAGTGGCTGGAGAGGGCTAGCAGCCGTGGCACGCCGCAAGTTCCGCCTCTGTGCATGAGCTGCACAGGAAACACCTTTTCTGACCACTCATTGGCTAAATTCGCAGTAAGCCACTCGCAGCATTCTTGGTAACTGGGGTAATAAGAATCCAGGAAGGTGATCTAGGGTTTTTCCACCTCACTTCTGGAGGAAAAACGAAGGTCTGCTGCTGGAGGGGCTAAGAAATGTCATATCCTGCCCTAGCCGGTTTGGCTCAGTGGATAGAGCCTTGGCCTGCAGACCACAGGGTCCCAGTTTGATCCCAGTCAAGGTCACGTACCTAGGTTGCAGGCTCCTCCCTGGCCCGGGCCCAGGTCAGGGTTCATGCAGGAGGCAACCAATCGATGTGTTCCTCTCACACTGATGTTTCTCTCTGTCTTTCCCTCTCTCTTCCGCACTCTCTAAAAATTAATGGAAAAATATCCTCAGGTGAGGATAAAAAAAAAGAAAGAAATGTCATATCCTATGAAAGAGACATCTTGAAAATGCCTAAAGAAAGTTGACATTTTTTTGTGATGAAGGGAGGGGAGTCCCTGTTGATGAAAACACGACAGCGGTTGCGAGGGCCGAGGGCCGGCAGTTGCGGTGGCTGGCAGTGGCAGCAGCAGCGGGGTGATGGGAGCGGCACCTTCCCCTGATCAGCCTGGTCGCCTCCCCCAAGGGGCCCCCTCATCAATAGGACATATTTGAGGGCTCCCAGACTGTGAAGGGGGTAGGCCGGGCACGAATTTTTGTGCACCGGACCTCTAATATATCTATAATAGACCAAGATATCTTTGTTTACATGTATAAATCTTAGTTTTGTTTTTGTTTTTTTAGATTGAAGAGCAGTCAGACTGTAAAATCCTAGATGGACACTTTGTTTCTCCTATGGCACATTATGTACCTGATATCATGCCAGTTGAATCTATTATTGCAAGGTAAGAATTTTTATTACTAAATAAAAATTTAAAGTACTAAGTTGTTTATGTTAATTTAAGTTATAACAATATCAATGCCATCTTATTTGAAATTACTTAGCATTAATTATAATAATTATGTGACATTATTCCCATTACACATGGGGTGAGAGGAGAGTGAAATTATAGAGCTTTATTATTTTGACATATTTAGTATGCATTTGAACTTAGGCTGTTATCCATTGAAAATATCCTATATAATAAAAGCCTGATATGTTAAGTGTGTCCAGTCGACCAGTCAGCCATTCAACCAATCAAAGTGTGATATGCTAAGGCTGCTCAACTGCTCACTATGATGTGCACTGACCACCAGGAGACAGACAGTCAACTGGTCGACCAGTCACTATGATGTGCACTGACCTCGGTTGATTAGTTTGCGGCTGGGGTCTGGCCGGTTGGGACTGAGTGAGATGGGCAGGACACGCCCTGGAGCCCTCCCGGGCTGGCCAACCTCCCGAGTCCCTCTCTGGCCCCGATTGTGCACTGGTGGGGACCCTCGGCCTGGCCTGTGCCCTCTTGCAATCTGGGACCCCTCAAGGGATGTCAGAGACCTGGTTTTGGCTAGATCCTGCAGGCCAGGCCAAGGGACCCCATTGGTGCATGAATTCGTGCACTGGGTCTCTAGTACTGTTATAAATATGTTTTGTATAAGTCTCATGGTAACCACAGAACTAAAATCTATAATGTTTGAACAAAAGAGAAGAGAAAAAAGTATAATTATATCACTACAGAAAGTCATCAAATTATAAAAGAAGAAAAAAAAATAAAGAAGAAACAAAACACTCGTGAAACAGGCAGAAACAATGAACAAAATGGCTATAGTAAGTCCATACCTATCAATAATCAGTTTAAATGTAAATGAAATAAGTTCTCCAATCAAAAGACATGGAATGGTTGAATGGATAAAGAAACAAGACCCAGCCCAGACAGCATGGCTCAATGTTTGAGCATTGACCTAGGAACCAGGAGGTCATGGTTCTATTCCCAGTCAGGGCACATGCCCAGATTGTAGGTTCAATCCCCAACCCCCGGTGTGGGATGTGCAGGAGTCAGCCAATCAATGATTCTCCCTTATCATTGATGTTTCTATCTCTCTTTCCCTCCTCCCACTGCGAATGGAGCCTGCAACTTGGGCATGTGCTCTGACTGGGAATGTTTTTGGTGCATGGGGCGATGCTCAACCAAGCCACACTGGCCAGGGCAGAAAAGCAGTTCTAGTTGCCTGAGAATGCAGCCACAGCCTAAAGAGTACAGTTTTCTAAGACTTAATCATATACATTAATGTCTCTAGCATAAGAAAATTTTATTACGCATTTATAAAGTTGTGGTATTGAACAAGATAAAAAATGATTACAATAAATTCTCTGTCTATATGGTAATTGAATATTTTACTATCCTAACATAAAACAAATTTACAATATCTTTGTTGTCTTTAGGCAAATATTAAATACTCAATTACAATTTTAATGTCAGAATTCTGGAGACTTTTTTCTAAAATAATTTAATTATGAAACTTCCAAGCATTGAAAGTTTGTATTAAGCCCTGACTGGTTTGGCTCAGTGGATAGAGCATCGGCCTGCGGACTGAAAGGTCCCAGGTTCGATTCCCGTCAAGGGCATGTACCTTGGTTGCGGGCACATCCCCAGTAGGAGGTGTGCAGGAGGCAGCTGATCGATGTTTCTCTCTCATTGATGTTTCTAACTCTCTATCCCTCTTCCTTCCTCTCTGTAAAAAATCAAACAAAAAAAAACAAAAAAGAAAGTTTGTATTAAAAGCCTTTAAGCCCTAACGGGTTTGGCTCAGTGGATAGAGCGTCGGCCTGTGGACTGAAAGGTCCCATGTTGGATTCTAGTCAAAGGGCATGTACCTTGGTTGCGGGCACATCCTCAGTAGGAGGTGTGCAGGAGACAGCTGATCGATGTTTCTCTCTCATTGATGTTTCTAACTCTCTATCCCTCTCCCTTCCTCTCTGTAAAATATCAATAAAATATATTTTTTTAAAAGCCTTTAAAAGATAATTAATTGAGGTGCTTTATTTTAAATAGGTTCCAATTTATTGTGCCTAAAGAATGGAATAGCAAATATAGACCCGTATGCATTCATCTTGCTGGAACAGGAGATCATGTAAGACTTCATTATGACATCTAATCCCTAATTTGTCAACATACTCTCCTTAACAGATGTGATTATTATATTCTTTAAATGTGTCCTCTTTTCTTTTCTTAGCATTACTGGAGACGACGAACACTGATGGCTCGTCCTATGATTAAAGAAGCCGGAATGGCTTCTTTGTTGTTAGAAAACCCTTATTATATCCTTTTGTGATACCTAGAAATCTTTTCTCTTATGTATTTATAGATTTAGTCATCCAAAGGAATGATAGATAGTAGCCAACTTTTCTAAATCAGTTAAATTTAGTCATTAGTTCAAAAAATACTTAAGAATGAAGTGAAAAATTACTTTTTAGATTGAAGAGCAGTCAGACTTTTAAAAAGCCTTCATGCCTTTTAAAAACTAAAATAAGGATTGTGCTTCTGTTGTATAATAAAGATAAATGGTACTTCTGTTTCCTGTGAGACTTATTTTATGCTGCATTTTAATATTAAGTCAAATGTTTGCTATTAAGAAAACCCTCATGTTTTAAGTGCTTTACAGTTAAGTACCAGTTGAGGTTTAGAACAGTTCTTAACTTAATTTTCAAGATGACATCAGACTATGTCCAGAAGAAGAAACGAAACTGGCCCTAGCTGGTTTGGCTCAGTGGATAGAGCGTCGGCCTGCGGACTGAAGGGTCCCAGGTTTGATTCCAGTCAAGGACACATGCCCAGGTTGAGGGCTTGATCTCCCCAGTGGGGGGCGTGCAGGAGGCAGCCAATCAATTACTCTTTCTCATCATTGATGTTTCTATCTCTTTCTCCCTCTTCCTTCCTCTCTTAAATCAATAAAAATATATTTAAAGAAAAAGGAACTGCCAAAACCGGTTTGGCTCAGTGGATGGAGCGTCGGCCTGCAGACTGAAGGGTCCCAGGTTCGATTCCGGTCAAGGGCATGTACCTGGGTTGCGGGCACATCCCCAGTAGGAGATGTGCAGGAGGCGGCTGATCGATGTTTCTCTCTCATCGATGTTTCTAACTCTCTATCTCTCTCCCTTCCTCTCTGTAAGAAATCAATAAAATATATTAAAAAAAAAAAGAAAAGAAAAAGAAACAAAACTGATGCACAAATATAACAAAATGCTCAACATTGCTGGTAATAAGAGAAATGTAAAGTTAAAGCAACAATTAACAAATATTTTAAAAACAAAACATAATACTCATGAGCCTGTTGTGAAATGGGCACACTCACTACTGATTACTGAATATCAGTTCAACCCCTGGGAAAGCATTTTTACCACATTGAAGCAAGAGCCTTAAAAAGCTTCACATCCCTTGACAGGATGATTCTCTTTCTGGGAAATTTAATCTAAGGATAAAATACTAAGAAAAGAGAAAGTAAGAGAAAAGAGAAAAGATAGCTATATAACTTGATGTACAATAGTAAAACATTAGAAATAGCTTGAATGTCCAACAATAGCAACATGGTTGAGAAAACTGGTTCATAATATTGTAATATTATGCAGTTGGTTCTGTAATATTTATTGTTCTACCATTTACTGCCTGTATGACCATGGACTTGTTAACATAATATTTTAGTACATCAATATTTTTGTTGGCAATGGGAATAGTCTCTTAGGTTATTCAGAGTATTATAGAGTTAATACTGTCTAGAACGTTGCTTGGTAAATAATGTGTTTAGTAAATTTTAACAGTTATTATTTTAAAAGTTTACAGCAATGTATGTAAGTATTTATAGTGTAAAAATGGGATATATAACTCTATGGTATGATATAGGTATACAGAAAAACCTAAAAACAAAACCCATTTAAAATACTGTGGAAAAAACATTAGGAAAAATACCCCATGATATTAACATAGTTGTCTGTAGATAAACTAAATTTTTTCTAATCCTTTCTGTATTTTCTAAGAAAATTTAAATTGATTTTGAGAGAGGTGGGGAAGGGAGAGAAAGAGAGAGAAACATCAATTTGTTGTTCCACTTATTTATGCATTCATTGCTTGCTTTCTTGTGTGGAACCTGGAGATGGAACACTCAACCTTGGTGTATAGGGGTGATGCTCTAACCAACTAAGCAACCCAGGTTTTTAGGTTTTCTATAATAATATAAATGAAAAAATCCAATAAACTGAAGTTGAAGACTGCACAACCCAATAAATATACTAAAAACATTGAATTGTACACTTCAGATAAATTGTTTAGCCCTGGCCAGTGTGGCTCAGTTGGTTGGAGCATCATCCTGTGTACCAGAGCGATAGGGCATATACCTTGATTGCAGGTTCCATCCCCAGGGCGCATACAGTTGGCCACCAATGGATATATCTCTCTCACATTAATGTGTATGTGCCTCTCCCTCTTTTCCTCCCTCTCTAAAATCAATAAAAATTCTTTAAAATAAATTGTTAGTCCCAAAAAGAGAAAAAGAAAAAAAAATTATTATCCCTGTCCTGTGTCTTTAGTGGTTAGAGCAGTGGTTCCCAAACTTATTTGGCCTACCGCCCCCTTTCCAGAAAAAATATTACTCAGCGCCCCCTGGAAATTAATTTTTTTTAAATTTTAATAGCAATTAAACAGAAAGATATATGTATTAATGTTTCTACCTTTTTCATAAAATATAGTAAAGAAAGGTGTAAATTAGAAACATTGAAGTTTGAAATTATGAAACTATTTATTGAACTCAGAATAGAAAGGTAATACAAAAAAAGTTAAAACAAATGCACCTGTGGCCATCACCGCCCCCCCTGGATCGCTGCAGCGCCCACCAGGGGGCGGTAGCGCCCACTTTGGGAATCACTGGGTTAGAGCATCTGCCTGCAAATTCGTTGCTACTTCATAACTGTAATTTTGCTACTGTTATGAATCGTAATGTAAATATCTGATATGCAGGATGTATTTTCATTGTTACAAATTGAACATAATTAAAGCATAGTGATTAATCACAAAAACAATATGTAATTATATATGTGTTTTCCCATGGTCTTAGGCGACCCCTGTGAAAGGGTCATTCCACCCCCAAAGGGGTCGCGACCCACAGGTTGAGAACCGCTGCCATAAGGTTTAATTCCTAGTCAAGGGCGTGAACCTGGGATGCAGGTTCGATCCTGTGTGCAGGCGTCTACCAATAATGTGTCTCTTCCACATCGATGTTTCTTTCTCTTTTTCCAACTTCCTTCCTCCCTTCCACTCTCTAAAAATCAATAGAAAAAATATCCTGATGTGAGGATTAATCAAAATAATACTAATACTAATAAATTATTTAAAAAATAAAGCTCTATAAAAGAAAACCATTTGAAAAACCTGAGAACTTCTAAACAGCATATTTCAGATAATTATAAAATAGTTATTTCAGTATTAAATTGTCTTCAACTTTAACTAATTTAAGTTAATGTGTTTTGATACCAGAGAATATTTGTTTTAAAACTTTCTCTTTGACCACATTCTTAAATGGCTGCAGGAAACCCAAGGACCAAATGTAAGTATATGTCACCTTCATTTTTGCAGTCTTTATATTGAATTTTCAGCAACATTAAAGTTTTTGGTAGTCTTTGGTTAACCATTTCTAAGTTTAATCTCCAAGTGTTATTGCGGGGAAATTCTGTTATAAAACTATAGTAGGAATGTTAACTTTAATTTTTACTTTAAGCTTTTTGCATTTTAAATGTATGATAAAGAGATAAATTTTTAATAGGTTGACTGGAAATATATTTTATTTGTAAAACTTTAACTGAAGAAAGTATAAAACATGTTCCTTTTTAAAAGGAAGAGTACATTTACTTTGTGAAATTAAACACTACTATTTTTTATTCTTGCAATGCATAATATAGGTAAACTTTCTCTTCCTGGTCTTTTAAAATGATCAACTTTAAGGCAGTGCTTTTTGCATTTTCATAATCTATGTTATATTTAGTTTTGATTCATTCAAGAAATATTTGATCCTAGACACTGGGAAGACAGCAACAAAAAGACAAGGTCCTTACTTTCATAGAGCTCATATTCTAGTATGGGAGAGAGATAAAAATCAATAAGGTAATTTCATATACTTATCAATACCATAAAGAAATAAAGCAAGGCAATGGGATAAAGAATAATAGAGTGTGGGTGCAGGGATGGAGCAGTATTAGATATGAGGACATGACGTAACGAGAAGGAGTCACCAGGGTGACAACCTGGAGGAAGGTCAGTCTCAGAGAAGGAAGAGTAAATGAAAAGCACAATGTGAGCACCGGGTTGTAGAGTAGTGCAAGATGAGATCAGAAAGGTAGGCAAGGGCCAGGTTAGGAAGAACCATGATTAGAATTTTAATCTAAGTGCAGTGGGAAACCTCTAGTGTACTTTAAGCAGAAAGTAAAATGATAAGACCTACTGATAAATTCATTTTTATGGGTAAGAAATCAAAAGTTCTGACTTGGACATATTGGTGATATCTGTTGGACCTGCAAGTAGAGAAGTCAAATAGGGAGTTGCAAAGTGGTGGAAAGATCAGTTTAGAAGTCACTTGTCTATATGATCATGACATAAAAGAGGTCATGAAAATGGGGTGTGGTAGAAGCAGACCTTATAAAGTGGGAAAACTGTATAAATTTCCTAGTGCGGACTTGTTGCGAGAATTATAATGTTTATAAAATATCCTGTTACATTTATGTACCCAGAAAATATAATAATGCTCCAATGTATTTAATTTTTCTCAAACAACTCATCATAAGAAAGAAATGTCTTGCAATTTTAATAATAAACAATTCGCTCTCTTTTAAAATATCTTAACCCTGTTTTCATCAACAGTGGTTAAATAATTTGAGAGTGGGTTTATTGTTATATATAGCCATTATCTCAAAACCTCACATCGGTAACTTCTGTTAAAGAGCAAACTGAGGTGGACCTGAGAATTCAAACTTCCATACCAGATGAAAATAATCAGGGGAATTCTGTAATCATAAATAGCAAATTAGAATGAGGATAGGAAACAAATATAAGGATAAATGAGTTCTTTTATGATGAAGCATGAGTATGATCTGTTTTGACATAGGATAACATCCTAATATATAAAAACCCTGGGTCCCTCATGACCGGAGGCTCGACCAACCAGAAGTCAGTCCTGCAGTCAGCACTGGGTTGCCGTGGTGACCCAGCACTGACTGCTGAGGGGACTGCAAATCAGGCCCGGACAGAGGCCTGAAGAGAGAAGCAGGGTCTGATCCATAGCCCCTGTGGCAGCTGTTGATCAGCACTTGCCTCTCTCTTTCTCTCCAGCAGCCACGCCTCCCTTTCTCTCCAGGCCTCCACCGGGGCTGCTGATCAGCCCCACCTTGCTGATCAGGCCCCGTTGATAGGCCCAGAGATGCTGACTGGCATAGAAACCGACCAATCAGAACCAAATCTGGGTGAAGTGTGAGGAGCCAATGGCTGCCTAGGAGGCAGAGCTTTTGACGCCGACTGGCATAGGAGCCAACCAATCAGAACCAAATCCAGGTGAACTATGAGGAGTCAGTGTCTGCCTAAGAGGCAGAGCTTTTGACACTGACTGGCATAGGAACTGACCAATTAGAACCAAATCTAGGTCAACTGTGAGGAGCCAATGGCTGCCTAGGAGGCAGAGCTTTTGACGCCGACTGGCATAGGAGCCAACCAATCAGAACCAAATCCAGGTGAACTATGAGGAGTCAGTGTCTGCCTAAGAGGCAGAGCTTTTGACACTGACTGGCATAGAAACCAACCAATCAGAACCAAATTGGCCAGCAGAGGAGGGCAGTTGGGGGCGAGATCAGGCCTGCAGGGGAGGGCAGTTGGGGCAAGATCAGGCCAGCAGGGGAGGGCAGTTGGGGGCGATCGGGCTGGTAGGAGAGGAGTTAGGTGTTAATCAGGCTGGCAGGAGAGTGGTTAGGGGGTAATCAGTCTGGCAGGCAGAAGCGGTTAGGGGCAATCAGGCAGGCAGGCAGGCAGGCGAGCAGTTGCGAGCCAGCAGTCCCGGATTGTGAGGTGATGTCCCCCGAGAGGTCCCAGATTGGAGAGGGTGCAGGCTGGGTGAGGGACACACACACACACCACCACCACCACCACCCCCAGTGCAAGAATTTCATGCACCGGGCCTCTAGTCCCATATAATAAAAGGCTAATATGCAAATTGTCCCCTCCACAGGGAGTTTGATTAGGGGGCAGGGCCAGCCAGCCAACCTCCCGTGTCCCCTTCCCCAGGCCAGCGCAGGCAGGTGGGACCCCACCTGTGCACAGATTCTTGCACCAGGCCTCTAGTAGTTTCCACAAAGAGAAGCCCTGCCTTATGAATATGGAGCCCTGAGAGGATGTGGGAGGACACTGGGCATAATTCTGTTTTTAACAACTTGGTGTTCCTGTGGCATCTGGTTCTTTGCATATAATTATTCTATGTAGGCATATAGTGAATGACCATTGATAAAATGAATTTTTGTACACTTTGACAAGGTTTCATCCAGTAGCCAACTATGTGCATATGTCTTCATAAATTATGTATTTAAGATGTCGGTAATACATGAAACTAGTATTAGGTTAAACTGTTACATTGCTTTTTTAAAAATGTTATGCTTTTAAGTTCTATTGTAATAAGTTCTTTCTAAGGGGGGACAACTATAAATTTGTTTTTCCTTATATAGTCATGGTAATTTAACAAAATTGGCAGTATAAGAAATATTATTTTCCCATAAGTATTTTAAGTTTTTATAAAGTGCCATCAAGCCCTGGCCGGCTTGGCTCAGTGGATGGAGTGTCAGCCTGCGGATTGAAGGGTCCCAGGTTCGATTCCAGCCAAGGGCACATGCCTGGGTTGCGGGCTTGATCCCCGGTGGGGGGCATGCAGGAGGCAGCCAATCGATGATTCTCTCTCATCATTGATGTTTCTATCTCTCTCTCCTTCTCCCTTCCTCTCTGAAATCAATAAAGAAATATATTTTTAAAAAAATAAAAAAATAAAGTGCCATCAAATAAGATTCTTTTCTGAACTTGAAAATAGGAAAATAGTTGAAATTCAATAAAGATTATATACTAGAGAGCATATATAACTTAAAAAAATAAGTTATAGGTGATTAATATGTAGAACTGTATTAGCAGCACTCTAATTATATCAACTCAGTCCATTGTTTTACTCAACTACTATTCCCTTTAAAAGAATAAAGATAAACCTTGACTGCCTGTTGTAAATTTTCACATATAAAAATGTAAATACATTAAAAAATAATTTTCTTTTTTGTTTTGTGATGCTAGAAGGTCCAGCTTAAAAAACGTGTCTGACCTATTTGTGATGGGAGGAGCTCTTGTTTTGGAATCTGCAGCTCTCTTGCACTGGCTAGAGAGGGAAGGTTATGGACCTCTAGGAATGACCGGAATATCCATGGGAGGACATGTAAGCCTTTCATTTCAAATGATATTTACTTACGATTGTGTTTATAAGATCTAGGGAATCTAGTTACTTTTAAAATTCACTTTATGTATAGAATTAATTTTGGTTTTGGTGAAAGAAGAAACATTCTAAACTTTCATTCCAATTATAATGATGTTATTTTTTGGTATGATTTATGTAGACACTGATTGTACTTACTCTACAGTTACATCTCAGGTATTGGATTTGATATTTTATTAAAAGTTGATTATGAAACTTTACTCAAGTTTCAAGTATAAACGTCATATTGGTGAAAATAGCTAATTTGGAAAATACTTTTTATATATTTATATATTTTTTATTGATTTCAGAGAGGAAGGGAAAGGGAGAGAGAGAAACATCAACAATGAGAGAGAATCATTGATCAGCTGCTTCCTGCACACCCCCTACTGGGGATCGAGCCTGCAACCTGGACATATGCCCTTGACCAAAATCGAACCAGGGACCCTTCAATCCACAAGCCGATGCTCTATCCACTGAGCCAAACTGGCTAGGGCTGGAAAATACTTTTCATTTATCTCTTTTATCTTTATACCTGATACCACCAACTTATTTTACCTTTGTCTTGTAGAGTGTACTAAAATGGCCTCCTACTTGGTTTGCTTGTCATGTATTCTTTTCTCTTAAACTTTTTCTTTTAACAGTTTTCTTCACACCTTAGTGGTCTTCCCCAATCTGATCTCTGCTCTGTTCTGCCTAAAACCTGCCAAAGACTTGCTCTTGCACTGGCTGTAACTATGCCAGGTGCTGGTACCCTTCTGGTGCCCCTGCATGCCTTTCCACCTAGCTGAATAACAGCTTGCTCTTCTGGTTCCAATTTGGAGCTTACTTCCTATGACAAGCTCTCCTGACTCCCAGCCTTACTCCAGACTATACTTCATCTCTCATTAGTACTTATTTCACTGTACTTATTTAGCCATCAGTTTGCTCCATGATGCAGTACATTCACTGAGGGCCAGGAATATGCTCTGGTTCATTATGTGGACTGATTAGTCATTTAGCACATTAAAAAATATATTTGCTGTAAGTTACTTGACTTATAAAATTAAGTTCAAAAACTTACTCAAATTCAAAGGGGTTAACAAAGAGGTGAAGCTAATAAAACCACTTCAAGAATTTACTCAAATTCAAAACAGCAACTACAAGACAGTAAACCTAAAGGCTGAAAAAGGATTTCTTTTCCTACCTAGTAGTGTTTCCATTTTTAGAACCTAGGTTGTGGCCTTTAATTTCATCTTGACTACTGCCTCTTAACTGGTTTTCCTACCTGAAATCTGATCCTCTCTAATCAGCCCTATAAACCACTATCATTTTAGCTTCCTTGAATCACTCCTTTGACAATGCCACTCCTTTGCCCAGGCTTCTTGATTAATTCCCCATTATCTACAAAACAAAGGAACTTCTAATCTGATCCTGATCAATCTTTCCAGCCCTACTTATCTCCTGAACCCACTGACCACATGTGCACTATTGACCAGCTGAGCTGAAGTACAGGGTGTTTCAGAAGTAGGTTTACATTTGTGAGCATGCAAAACAGAGTTTACTCTTGTAGTATTATTTATTAACTGTTATATTATTTTCCATACAAACAACTATAAACCTACTTTTGCTCCACCCTGTATTTTGGATGTTCCCCACAACAAAGACTTTGTGCTTTCTCACTATCTTGCCTTTAATCGTATTGTCTTCTTTTTTTTTTTAAATATATTTTATTGATTTTTTACAGAGAGGAAGGGAGAGAGATAGAAAGTTAGAAACATCGATGAGAGAGAAACATCGACCAGCTGCCTCCTGCACATCTCCTACTGGGGATGTGCCCGCAACCCAGGTACATGCCCTTGACCGGAATCGAACCTGGGACCTTTCAGTCCGCAGGCCGATGCTCTATCCACTGAGCCAAACCGGTTTCGGCCGTATTGTCTTCTTAAATGGAAGACATGACCCCATCAATCATTTACCCTAAGTGACAGCCATTTCATGAAGCCTACCCCAATTCCTCTAGCCCAAAACAACTCTTTCCCTCTCTAAGCATACATATTACATTATTTTAAATTAGTTTTATGTTGTGTTTTGTAGTTTACCAAATTCTTGGCATCTTTTAGTCAACTTCAGGGGTCTGAGGGTTTTTTTTATTTTATTATTATTTTTTAGGGTCTGAGATTTTTATAGTTGTGATTTTGCTGTACCTGAGCAAGTCACTTAGGTAATGAGTGTATCTACATCTCAGCATGTGTGCTCTATATTTACCCAGTAGAAAGTAGCTCTCTATGAAAAGTCTTGAGATTACTTAAAATTTTCTAATATATTTTACTAGAGGCCTGGTGCACATATTCGTGCATGAGTGGGGTCCCTCGGCCTGGCTGGCAATCGGGGCGTCTCACCCAGTCCAGATCGGGGCGGGGCGGGCCAGCCAAGAGGAGGAAAGACAGGAGTTTGGCTGTGAGAGCGCACTGACCACCAGGGGACAGGTCCTGCATTGAGCATCTGCCCCTGGTGGTTAGTGCACACCGTAGCAACCAGTCATTTGCTCGACCAGTCGTAAAGGTCACTTAGGCTTTTATATATATAGACTAGAGGCCCGGTGCACAAAAATTTGTGCACTCG